ATTTCGACTACAACTTTGGATAGAAAAAAAACTGATAATGATTAATATAAAAAATACACAGCAACTACGTTCTTAATAAGGAAAATAACGTTATCTTTAACATCAAGTTCTCGGAATTAGTGCATCTCAAGACGATTCTATAATTAAATTAATGTATCTTTGTTTATTTTCGATAAAAACGTATGTCACATATTTTTGTCTGACACCAAAGTGTATTATAATTAAATAAAAACTTTAATATTTCTTTACTTCTGATCATTCATAGTTTAATAGTTTGGTTTGACCAAAAGTTCTGGCAACATTGCTAGCAATTCTATAAACCAGTTAATATTTGAGAGTCTGCTGCATGAATAATAGGAAGTGCATATCATTCGTCAAATAAGAAAGTTTGTCAACAGATATATTGTCGACAGGCATATTGTCGATATTATCTTTTGTCGACAGATATTTTGTTGAATTTATTTTGTCGACACCTTTTTGTCAAAAGTTTTTTTGTTGACAACCAAGGCCGAGCATGATAACAGTCGTAAAAGATCGTATACAACGTCTTATGCTATCGTGTACGGTTGTATACGGTGTAAATTACAATCGTATACCACTACTGTAAACGATTGTATGCGGTCGTATACAATGTCGTTTGTCATCGTGTCCCACAGGAGTTTTTCATACCTTTCCCTCACCCTTAAGTACAATGCATACAAGCTATTTGTATAAAAATATACATTATTTTATTTTTAATGCATTGATATTTATATTTGGAGAAGCTGTTGAGTCAAATCTAAACCAAAAACAAATAATAATTTATATTTTAAATTGACACTTAAATTTCGATAAGTTGTTGAATCGAGTCTAAATAAAAAAAAATCGTTTTATTAAATGCTTTGAGTATCAGTTATGAGCATTAATCACAGACTTTGAATTGTTGTTTTTTTGATGCATAACTGAAAAATACAGATTGAAAAATCAAGCTACAACTGGATATTAATCACCTATGCCGAAGCGAAAATAGCTAAATCGACATGGAATTTTCTTAAGAGCTCGAAAAATACTTCTAACATGTCGACTAGGCGGAATTTAAGTGCAATAAAACATTTGAAAAATTCTTATGGGTCGATTTCGAAAAATCGAACATGACATACTCATGCTCATATTACTATTATTAAAAGAGAAAATGTTAATCAATATTATGCCATTTGAAACATCAACACGTACTCAAAATTCATATAGACATATTCAGCTAGGAAACATTTTCTGTTTGCATATAAACTAATTTTTGTTGAGACCCAGAACTTATGAGACACCTTTTGTATGCAAGTTAATTGAGTGTCTGAGCATATTTACAATTTATTCGTTGACATCTTCTTCATCATGACAAATGGTCCGGTTATTTTGAAGTTTAGCATGACGATGAAGGGCAAAAGTGTGCTTCTCTACGATGGATACATCTACACATTGAATAAAGATCGTGGTAAAGTGAAATACTAGCAATGTCAGGATCATTCCCGCTCCACTTTTGCTCATGCTGATGGGAATGGCAACTACAAAGCACATTTGAGCATTCATGATGGTCCTCTATCCTCGCCTGAGGGAGTTGAACTTCTTACATTTAAGAAAACGGTCAAAGAACGGGTGAGCAAGGAGACCACATCAATTACTCACATCTGCGAATAAGAGCTCGTAGCGGCAAAACTTAGTCAAACTGGCTTGGCGCTTGCACCCAACGATAAAGACGCTCGTGAGCATCTACCTCCAGGAACTCGTTATCCACTTTAAATATGGTCGAATCCTTAGAGTCGTCGCTGTCTCGTCTTCGTCGAAAAACAACACTACCTCTCCATGTTTCGAGAGACTTCGATAACCTGATCAACTACAGGCAGACTCTAGACAGCAAAGAATTTCTTTTTAAGGATGCACTCATTCATGGCAAAAAAGTATTAGTATTTGCCAATGTGTGACAATTGGTCATACTGTTCTAATCGACGTACATCTTCACTGATGGCACATTCTCAGTCTGTCCTTCTTTCTTCGCTCAAGTGCTTACTATTCATGGGGTGCATCATGAACATGGTGAGTTCTTTCTGGTCTTGTTAGTCTGTGAATTTAAAATGATGTCTCTTTCAAGTTTTGCCATGTGTGATTGCTTTTCTTCCTGGTCGATCGACTGCCTTCTATAACCATCTGTTCCATATTCTTGATTTGCAAGTTATAGGTCTTTGAATGACATTCGAGCTGAAATCGATTATCATGTGAGTTCTTTTCCTTTTAGCCTTAACGTCTACTTACGATTTCCTCTGAAATTGTTTTAATTCCCTAAGTCTCCACATATTGAATGCTTCTTTTATTATACTCAAAGTATCCATCGAAAAATCCAGAATCTCGAACTGTCCACTGTTTACAGGAATGATGAAGAAGTCCGCTCTGTGCGTCAACAGTTGATGGCATTTGTTCTTGTGCCTCGGACAAAGTGGAGCCTGCTGTTCAATATCTTTCCGATAATCATCTGCAATGGATCAATAATCTGTTCGGTTACTTTGAAGATTTCTTGATAGGAATCATACCAATAGACTTGTAGAATGTGTTCGATCTCAAAATACGAATAAACAATAATGCAGAGAGTAAGATTCTTTTTCTTTCTTTCTCACTTACGATATTCGAATATAGTTCATTCAGGATGGCACAATAGATTTGCCCATCACATCGACGAGAAATATCCGAACACATGGCATTTCATCCATGTGCTTCAAGAAGAAGAAGTTCACTTCAATCAATATGTTCAACAGGTGAAAACGGGCAAGAAGAAGCTGCATGGAAAACTAACATGTCATCCAACAGCGTCTCGAAACTCTTGCAAATCGATTCAAGATGAAAGAGATCGACCTTGTCGAATACATCCAGGGCCTGCCGCTTTTGGTCACAAAGAGGAAATGATACGGAATGAAACCAGAACAAATCAATCCTTCTTGATACTGGTCTTTTGTTTCTTCCTTTTCACTATCTATTTTTGTTAGTTAACTTTGTAAATGTGTTCTATATATATGATTAGACTATTTGTTATTTTCTCTTGTAGCTGCTTGGTCGAATAAAAAAAAAACGTGGGCTGTGTCTTCTGAACATTGATATTTCACGAATACTTTTCGACAAAATAATTTCGATGAAAAGTTGTCGACGAATGATATTATTATTAATAAATAGTAGTGTCTTGTCTATAATAGTATATATAATATTTCTATTCTGAGTTTAGTTCAAATATTCTTCATATAAAATCCAATTTCAACAAAAAAAGTTCAGGAATCAATAATAAATTCGATCGATACTTTATTACAACTCAAACTATTTTGGGAATAGATGCAAAGTGGACAAAGCGTTTTTATGAAAGAAGAGAAGATGTCAACGATGATCCTCGATCTAGTAGTCTGACTTCCGACCTGACACAAATGTAAATACTGAACTAATAGGACAAGTTATTAATAATAATTCATATACGACTCCTGATGATATTATTGTTGAGAATTCTCTCTCATGGTGCAATACGACGATTTATCCACGGTTGTCTAAAAATGAGAAAATTTACATTGCGTTGGGTGTCTCATCAACTCAATGATAAACAAAAACAAAAATGAGTTAGAATTTATCGTAATAATTTAACAAAATGTCTTGATGGATCATGGCGATAATGTAATATTATTACAGCCGGTCAGATATAGATCTATCATAGACAGGTTGAGGCACAAGTCAATTAACGCAAGCTGAATTAGTGAAGGTAAATCACTAACGACTACTGCTCGTTGAAGTAGATTTGAACCAAAACAACTTTGTTTTCTATATTCGCTAAATCATATCCAGTGTGATTCGAACTAGATAAAAACCACCTGTATATGCCTATCGTTATAATCTATCGTTATAATATGCGCTATACTGGCAGTTTTTTATGAAAGTAGTGTATTATTGCGTATTGTATCGAAATGGATGAATATTTTTGAAGTCTGTTAAAACTGACGTAATTCAATCGATTGCAACACATTGCAATCATGCTGATACATCTGAGCGGCCTGTACCAGCCATAGAGTTCAAACTGGTCTCAGCTCTGAGATACATTTTTTATTATAGATGACGCTTCAAAAATTTATATTAGTTAAATATATTTTGAAACTGTTTTTTCTCGATGAATTTGAATTCTTTCTAATAAAATGTTCGAATTTGGGTAGAAAACACTCTCTGCAATTGTTTACATTTGAAACCAAAACTCGTAAGCGGTACTACTGGTTCTTATGAGTACCACGAATAAATGTGCGACATAGAATGGTCCTGCTCTTATACGTAGTGTAGATAAAGGCAAGACTATAGACCACAGCTATTATATTGAAAACTGCCTCAAGCCTGTTATCAATGCAATAAAGAAATAAAAAGGAAAGTCATCAGGTGCGAAAGATATAAAATTACTGCACTTTATGACAATGCTCAGCCTCATACTTATCTAGATGCTATTACTTATTTAACACAAGACGATATCGATATAATGCCATATGTATTATTTTCACGAGGCTTTGCATGGTGTAATCTTTGGCTAAATGATTATTATCAAGCGTAATTTAACTGACCAAACAAATGAAAACTCATCGGCTCGTACGATTTTCAAGATAGTTAGAAGATATTCCAGAAGAAATGCTTAAAATAAATATTTGACAAATTGCTAGAAAGGATGGAATTCTGTATAAATAATAATGGCGACTGTTTTGAACATTTAATAAAATATCATTAAAAATATCGCTTTTGATTTTTATATTTTTATTTAATGTTGTCTGAATTTCTGGCCAATCCGAAGTATCTTGTTTGATTTATTTCATGTTTCTTATCAATTAATACTATATGACTACATATCTTCTTTTACTTTATAATAATTTCTAAAATTGAATGTTTTAATCATACAAAAAAAGAATATTCTATTCTAAATACAACACGTTTTTTATTTTTGATTTTTGATTTCACTATTTTAAAGTTTATTAAGTACCAAGAAATGATGGCCGTCTTGAATGAAATGATTGTCCAGATGTTTGTGGTTTGGGTAGTGGTTTTGAAAAAATAAAATTTTGATGAAGAATATTTTCTTCATCATAATAATTCGATTCATGAAGTAATTCTAGACCAGTACGTAGAAGTATTTCAAGAATTTCAATCAAATTCGTATCTGGTAATTCAATACAACGATAATGTTTACCTTCAAGGTGTTGTACAGAATAATCACCAGTTATTGACGGAGCTCTTTGTGAACGTCCAAACGTACTTATTGATGTACGTCTAATTGAACTACTTGGTACTTTTACTGTAGATGATGATTGAGGAGACGTGGAAATTTCATGACTTGTTGAAACAATGGTTGATGCATTCGTATCATTCTCATCAATATTTTCATTTTCTTTAGAAATGACTGATAAATGTGTTTTCTTCAAATCTGATTCAATTGAATTCTCATAAACAGTCATAGTTGATTTATAACGTTCAAATATATTGGATAAAAATTGTAAATCACCAAACATAAGTATTTTAGAATTAATTGAAAATAATGAATTAGAATTACCTTCACGTTTTAAGTAAATTGTGTCTGTATGTCGATATTGTTGATAAGGTAAAGTTGTTTCATCAATTGATGATAATGTTCGGCGACCAACATTAAGTACAGATTCAAGGTCAACACTTCCTATATTAGGAGGATAAGACATTTGTATCTAAAGAAAAGAAAAAATAACTACTAATTCTAAACATAAATGAAAAACTAATATAATGTTCTTTATTATTATTATTATTTTTTTTTTTTTTTTGGAATAGATAATTTTTAAAGTCTAAGAAGTTTTTGTGTCAATTATTGGTAAAGAACGAATATTATCTTGTATATCTTTATTACGTAATAAAATAAATTCTTGTAATTTAGTTGTTGATGCAAAATTTGTTGAACTAGCCACAATTGAAAAATAATGTTTATGTAAAATTTCTAATACTTCAATTAATGACATTGTTGGTAATTCAATTGTTATATGAAGTTTTCCTGATAAACGATCATGATTTTTAATCATTTCAGGATCATTATGATGAATTTTAATATGCGATGTATATTTTTGAAATATGTCTGTTAAAACATGATAATCACCTATGGAAATAGATAAAAGAATTAAATGAGTTTTTTTTTAAATTGAAATACTATAAAACAAACCATGAAATACACATCGTGCATCTTCTTTAAGTATATCATTTGATTTTTCAACTTTTAAAATTATTATATCAGTATAACGATAAGAATCTTGAGATGTTGAAAAACCTGCATTAGATAATCCACGTCGACGAACTTGAAGAACTGATTCAAGGTCAACTTCCGTTGTTGACATAGTCCGTTGTGGATTGTTTTCCGTTGAAAATGACTATATTAAAAAAAATGTATATATTTCATTTTCTAATACATAGATCATACCGGTGAACGTATATTCGGGACCGTTTCCCGTCGTTCATGTGCAGACGCTGCTTGAGAACCTCTTCGTGTATTTGCTGCTGCTTCAAACATTTATTATATCGAATCTATCTGTGTTTCTTTTTATTTTATTTCTTATCTTTTATGATATAATCGTTTTCGAGAGTCGTAAAAAGCAATTTTCTTCTATTTTTTTTACCTGTTGTACAAAATGCTTGTGATATTTACGAAAAAGGTATTCAACTTATATTACTCAATAAGAATTGTTGCTCGTCAAATTTCTTTTTGTTTCGGTCCTTTTTTTTCTTTTTCAAACACAAAATTAAGTGAGAGTCATATGAAGAATATCGATAGTGATATTCGACGAAAAAAAGAGAGAGAGGGGATATAACCTTATCGTCAAACCAAGCAGAACCAACATGCTTTCGTTGTATAATACTTTAGATGCATCTACGTTTCTTTTTTTCTTTTTCGTAATATACAACCCTTTTTCTTTTTCATATGCTTGAAAATATGTTTTTTAATTGGCTTTAAAAATGGTCGAGAAAGGACGAGAACGCATATGAATATATTTTGGCTCCTTTTATTTTCAAGGTTGTCTAATCTAATTGTGGTATAAATAGAATGAAAGATCATCAGTTCCTCATCATTTTAACGCTAAAATCGAGACATTTTGATTCAATCATAACTATGAATAGGGTATATCTTCATGACGTACTAAATGGACGATTAGCTGTTGACACTAGATAGTTATATAAGCGTTCATTTGACAGAAAACAAATAAAGATGAAGAATGATTCAAAGTTATTCTGATAGGCTTTTGTTTAGATTAAATTTTTATAATAGAACCATTCATTTAAAATGATCTTTTGAATCTACCAGACGATATAAAAATTTTTCATTGCTTACATTTTGAGTCTGAAATACTTATGGACATTCCATTTGTCATTTAATTATTTTTGTTAATGAAACTTCCTCTGCACTTAATTCACTTCGTAGTCGATAGAGCTTTTCAAGAGTTACAAACCGAATTACTTTTTACGTTTAAAAAAATGTGGACCACATAAGAAAACCCTTAGTCCACTATTCTTCATGCCCAACAAATCAGTATAAAAAAAAGCAACTCGACTTATGTATGTTTCAAACTTTTTCTGCAACTTTTTTTTCTGATCAAATTTTCACACCTGGATCTTCTCAAGGATATGTAAATAAATGAATTTAATCAACACAACTATTTTACTATTTAATCATCTGTCTTCAGACCATATAATTAGGGAGGGAAAGTAGGAGGATTTCCCCCTCCCAAATTTTCTTTTGCATTTAGCCTTTCTTCCTGAAAATTTTTGTTGGATGCTGTTTAGTGGGTTTTTTGGTTTTTTTTTCTATAGATAGAATATAAGAAAAATATGCATAAGAGAAAGGTTTATTCAAATATTTCAAGATTCATTAACAAAAATAATGAGATGACAAGTAGAATGCACATCAGTATTTCATATTCAAAATATAAGCAATGGAAGATGTGTATATGATCTAATAAATTCAAAAGATTATTTTAAATGAATGATTCTATTACGAAAATGTAACCTAAACAAATGGCTTTCAGAATAAGTTTGAATCATTGTTCATCTTTATTTGTTTTGTATCAAGCGAATGCTCAAATTGCTGACTAATATCAACAAATAACTGTCAATTTAGTATAGCGTGAAGATAGAATCTGTGGGAAACTATGATCGAATCAAAATGTCTTAGTTTTAGCATCAAAATGATTAGAAACTCATGATCTTTCATTCTACATATAAGTCAAATAGTTTGTGCCTTGAAAATCAAAAGGAGGCCAACCTGCGTTCTTATGAGCCTCTCTCTTCCCGTCCTTTGTAAACCGTACACACGAAAAATCAATTGATCAATGTAATCTACCTTTTTTTTTCTTGAGAACGTCGTGACACATGGATGGTTTAATAATTCATTGCTATAGAAATGTTGAAATTCGCTCAGAAAAAAATTCTACGTTATAGTGTTCTCTATTTTGATTGGTTCAATTCAATAAAATAAATGCTATTCTTGCAGCTGTTATGTATAAAAAATGAACTTGAATCAATTGATTCTTTTAGAGAAATGTGCTATCAACGAAAATAATCAACTGAGAAGTATACACAAAGCTGCTTTTTTTTTTACATATTAGATCATCAGTAACCTAAAGAAGGACTAAAAATGATGACCATCTGTGCGACTGCTGAGATGAATGATATGATTTTGAGAAGTTAGTATTATGAGCTACACTTTTTTCAGCTACGATTATCAAAGATACACTCTTTATCTATTGATTCCTCTATTGATATCAAAGGTCTTAATGGACTGGGTTGAAGCAAAGAAAGTCTGTTCATGAATTATCGATCTTTGATTCGGCTCAGTACATGGGTCACTCATATAATTGTATTGGATCAATTTTTAACACATGAATGAGCAACCATATTTTGAATTATCGGTATCATATTTGATAACTTGCAAAATCTTCAATTCTCTCGAATTCATCAGCATTTGCTAATTTTTTAATTGAAAATTAAAAACTTTCTAACATAAAAATGTGTTTGTTTTTTCATTTTTAATAGCAACATATATATATCGATGATTGTTGTTTCAAAAGAAATTTGATCGATTCGAATGTATACTATTTTGTATATGATTATGAACAAGCATCAATAGTTGAAGACCAAGTGTTAACAAAAATTGATGATTGAGCAGGTTCAGTAGAAATAGGATTAGAATTTGAAAAAGTAATTGATGATAAATGAGCAGAGCTAGGTAAAGACATTTTCTTGAATATAAAGAAAGTTTATTAAACTGAAGACAATTTTATCCTTTTCTTTGTTTTGCTTTATACTATATTTCCAGTTAATTGTAGAAAAGATTTAGTCAATGAAAGAATTATATGCGATTTTCTAGAAATGCAACATCTTTTGAAAACTTTATATTTTATTCAAGATTTGGTCTATGGGCATCCATCTCAATATCGAATGAGCCCGACCAATCCATAAATTTCTATTCAAAAAAAATATTTCAACCCATGGATACATCTGATCAATATCTCTTGTAATCACCTCATTTCAGGTTGTTCAATCACAATAGATAACGAAGGAGGTATAAATTTATACACAAATCGAACCCATATCGCATGTTTGTGCGTACTGTCGTCGGTATACTGTGGTACTCATAAGAACCGACAGTAGCACTTTCGACTTTCGGTTCTAACTATAAACAATTGCAGAGTATTTTCTGTTCAAATTTGAATAATTTACTAGAAACAATTTGAATTAACCGAGAAGAAAATAGTTTCAGAATATATTTAACTAATAAAGATTTTTGAAGCGCCATCTATAATAAAAATGTCGCCCATAACCAGGATCAATTTGGACTCTGTGGCTAGTACAAACGGTTCAGACGCATCGACATTATCAGAACGCATGGAAAACGATTCAATTCTGTCATTTTCAATAGACTTCGACAATATTCACCCGTTTCGATACAATACACCATGATACAACACTAGTTCTTCTGCAAAAATCGACGACACCCAATACACTAATTAATCTAATTGGCAGGTCACATCAAAGAGCACCGCTGTGAGCATCAAAGAATGTGAATGCTGCTGGTCTGCTGAAGTACCTACAACGCTTTAAAAGAAACGGCGGTAAACCACTAGGTATAACACACATTATACCAATCGGTATACCAGCGGTAGTTCCTCGATAGTATCACATAGATTATCTTTAATATACGTTGAATATTTATCATCGAGTATGACATAAAAATAATTTTATTTTACTTTCAAAATAATACTTCCAACTAAAATAATTTTATTTATTTCCATATATAAAACTTGAAAAAAAGACACATGTACATAAATATGAAACGAAATTTATTTATCAAAATAGAAAAATAATTATCTGAATACTATTTTATTATGATAAGAAAAATCTTCTTAATTCAAATTCTAAATCATGTAACTTTTCAGAGTACATATTTCCTTTCACAACATAATCACCCATGGTTTCAAGGTAGTCATAGCAAATGTAACCATTGACAACGTGCCTCTATACATACATTAGTTAATTAATGTTTCTACGTATTCTAATAGCTAATAATAACGAATAAAGTAATAGAAAGAAACAAAAAACAAAAAAAAAAAGATGATAACCATCTGTTATTAATGATATGTCATTTAACAATGGTAAAGAATTATTCATATAGAACATAAATAATAATAACTTGAATTTTTCTATATGTGTAAATAAGAACAAATAACGTAAACTAATTTCGAATATTACAAAATGTCACATTCAAAATCATCAAAAATTGTATGAAAATATTTTTTTATTTTCCAATAAAAATAAATAAAATCAATTATCCTTTTTCTTTTGTTTAGGTATCAACTTCCGCAATTTCCATATCTTCATCTTCATCTTCATCATCAATATATAAAGGATTTAAATCACGTTCTAAAGATGTAAAGTCTAAAATAAAAGGATTATTTAATCGACATAATCAACATGAAGACACTAATTTAACTCAAGTTGTTGTTTGTGAAAGTATTACAAAAGATCCAATGTTTCTTCTTTCTGTAAGAAAAATAACAACGATGATGTCTATTACAAAACAATTTTTTATTCATAATTTAGAATCGTCGACATATGCGAAAAATAACTTTGGAAAATACGGATAATTCATATATAGATGATAATGCTGGTTTAGTAGCTTTATCATCATCATCATCAGAAACAACACTTCCATTTGAACATCCAGCTCAAACATTCAATGAATATACACAAAAAGTTATTATTTGATATATATAATTTATTGGATTGTTTTTTTTTTTCGTGTTTTCTTTACTTTAGTTAGAAGAAGCTTTATTATTATTAAGAAATATGAAACGAGACGAATACGAAAGTGAAACAACGCTTAAAATTCTTCGTTTTCTTGAAAATTTAATTCATCAACCAAAAGAATGGATTTCAGGAGCAAAATTAAAATTATCGGAAATGAAATTTCCAGGTTAGATTGATATTTTTTTTTTTTTTTTTTGTATTAATTGAAATTAATTATTATAGAAATGGCGATGACTTTAATGAACAGTTATAAAGAAAAAGGTTATTTAGTAAGACGTATAGTTTTTGTTCATACTATATTACTTTATAATTCAATGATTAATTTTACTGATTATGATTTTGATAAAGAAGGACTCATAAGAAAAGTATTGTTTATAGAAAATTTTTAAAGAATTGATTTACTATTTATTTTTTAAATCATTTTAGCAATCAGCTGATGCTGGTTTTATTGAATTTGCTTGTGAGATTCTTAGTGATCCATCATATAGTGAATCATTAAGAAAATGTTATATTATTCATAGTCCAGAAGAAACACTGCAAAATGATGATTTTCAAAATTATCAAGTTTGATTCTATTTTTATATTATTTGCAATAAATTTTTTTTTGTTTTATATTTAGAAAATTTTATACATTTGTGATTCTGCACTCACTATTCTTTATAATATAGCAAGTTTACCAGAACTTAAAATTCATTTTCGTGAATGCAAAGCAATGACTGTACGTATTCGATTGATTAGGATTGTGCAAAAAAAGAAAAAGAACTTCTTTATGAATGAGTATATACAGGATATTTCAAAAGTCCATGCGAAATAGGGCTCCGCACGGAATGATACAATTTCACCCTATTCAAGGTTTTCAAAATAGTCCACCCTATAGGATTTCATGGGACAAACGTATTTTGCAAAAATTTCTTTTTATGAAGAATAAAATCGTTTTGAAATAGATGTTTTTATTGCCTATTCGAGCGACACAAGTGAAAAATAATTTTTTTCCTATTCTGTAAGTAGTTAAGCGCAGTACATGTTCTCCAACTTCATTAAACTAATACAAAACACGTAAAGTGAAGTATTTCTTTTGTAAACTATAGTTGTTTTGCAGGATAATCGAACTTCAGAATAAGGATCTCTCTAGTTTCTGTATTTCGAACAGAAATTTTTTATTTTTTTAAATTCGTTCTTTTTTTCAATTTAATACTCTTCTTATTATAATCATTAAATTAGTTGGCAAATAACTCTGTTTTACATATCCATGATATCTAGAAATTCTGACGTTTGTTATTCTCGATTGCTAAAGTCTGTAATGGGAGCCGGAGAACTTCGACTTAAAACTTACACTCACTATGTTCTTCGAAACTATATGGAAGTTTCACACAACAAATAACAATGAATCAACATATAAAGTAACAGCACAACCCGATCTATTGTAATAGCAACAAATGATTTGATTCTGCTTTTACTTACAATCGATAGTATGTCTTTGGACAATTCATTGTCTGTTGTTCAATGTCAATCTAATGGATTTAATTCAATAGGCAATTTACAACTGAACAAACTACTCGCTTAGTAGAAAACGATTTATCGAATTATTAAGTCATCAAAAACACAAAGAATAATTTATCTTCGGTTTTTTAACAGATTTTCGGTTTTCCAGCCAACAAATCTCGTATAAAAGAAGAATTTGAATCAATCCCAGACTTTGTCAGTTGTCAATCATGTTTTCAGCCGTATGTATTTACATCAAGTTCTGGTACATGAATACTCAACACAGATAAGCACTTTTGTGAAATCCGCATAGTAGCAAATGATAACAATCTGAAAGATCTTCAAGGAGTACAGAAGAGAAAATCGACGACGTTCATAATGCTTGTAAAAATGTATTACTATCAAGTGTTCGAGTTGTTGCAATAGCTCGCCTCATTTCTAAGAATAGTAATAATTTGAATTATGATTTAATATCTACCAATGAACCCATACAAAGTGCAATTTGTCCAACAACTTCAAGAAGAAGGTTCACAAGATCGAGATGAAGTTCTCAAATTTTGATACCAATGTTTCAAAATATCAACAATCAGAAGAATTCGTTTTCTTTTTTTCGATGAATTCTGTTTTCATTTAAATGGCTTATCAGTAAATATACAGTGAAAATCTATGTGTATAACACATATATGAATATTTAATTGAATTCAAAATAAGAACCGATGATGGAAATAAATTAATTCGAAAATAAACTTTTTGCAGAAGTTTTTTGAAGATTTCGAAAAGAATAAATTTATGGATTTTAGTTCATGATTTGTTTTAAACCAGATTATATGTAATAAAACTCAAAAGAATACACTATCATATTATAGAAAAAAGCAACAAAATCGCTTGAAATGTATAAAAGATATATTTACGCGAACTTTTCGCACAGACTTTTGGGATGTCCTATATATCCTCGTGGCCAAAATAAACGGAACACCTTATTTTTTCGAT